ATGACGATGGCGATGGCTGAATGAATGGGGTAAATGGCGATTCGATTGGGTCTGACTGCAGCAATTAGAAATGATGCCGCTGTTGCTGCTGCAGGATGTACTGCTCTTGACTAGTGTTGATGTCGTGTCCGAGCAGATAAGGCTGAGTAGCAACAATGTAAACACGAGGATAAATAGCTGCGCTCGCCGTCGCCGACGACGCCGCTTGGAAACATCTTAGATAGCCAGCCAGTGAGAGAGTAGGTAGTTAGGAAGGTAATTAGTCAGGCAGGTAGATCCAAGCGGACAGAGAATACTGCTGCTGCGGTTGCTGTGGTGCCAACAGGACACTCTGAAGAAGAAGGAGTGCTCGAGGTGACAGGAGGTGCTGCAGCTGGCAGGCGGCAAACAAGCTGGCTATGGCGATAATCCAAAAGAGATGGATGCAAAGCTTCACCAGAAAGAGTGTCCGTCAGGCAAAGTCAGCAGCGAAGAGTGACAGCACAAGTGTTGTTGTTGTTGTAGTTTCTGTTGCTGTTATTGCTGGCTGATGATGCGGTCTGATGATGTACGGTGGGTTGCTCCTTCTTCTGCTGCAGACGATGGTGGTGATGGTGGTGGTGGTGCAGTTGGCCATAGTGGGTTCGTGCACAGAAGGGAATGCCAACACACTAACTCAAAACACACACATAAGCACACTATATCACCTGCAGAAGTTTTCGACCAAGATGAACAGATGTGATGCCAGTGGTCCTCCTGAAGTCGCAGCAGAGGACATCACACACACACTCACACAGAAGGTGCTCATGTGGATGATGGCCCAAATGCAAATGAGTCCTTTTCAGTGAGATGCTTCAGGGGAGATGCCGATGCTGAAGATTATGATGATGATGATGATGATGATGGCGGTGAGAGGTGGTCAGGCGTACATGGTAACGGACGGCCACAGCAAACACACAGACACAGAGCACAGGTCAGTGGTGGTGGTGGTCGTTGCAGTAGTGGATGTGCAAGTGGCTGTTCATCAATTAGCAAAAAGTAAATGAGAGAAAGAGTGAGAGAGCGAGCAAGTCAACGTGACTGTGCTCACTCGGCGTGATTAGCAGTGGCTAGTGTCCTGCTGTGATGGTGCTGCTGCTGCTGCTGCATTCAGCGATGCTAGTGCATCATTCGGCAGCAGCTGCGGACAGAATCGGGTGCTGCTGCTGTTGGTCCACTCACACACTTTGCCCGTGAAGGAATGAACGGTGGTAGTCTTGCGGGAGAGGGAGAAAGGAGCGTTGATCCAAAGGAGTTGGCAAAGTTGAGTGAAGAAAGAGTAAAGTGGGCAACAAAGTTGCACTTTGTCGTCGGCGGCGACGTCGGCGACAGCGACAGAATCCCCGCGACAGCCGCGACTGAGAAAGAGGTGGTGGTGGAGATATCGCGCGCGCGACTTGGAGCAGCAGCTGCAGCCTGCCTCACTGCCTGGTGTCTGTCTGTCTGCCTGCAAAGCAGAGCAGAGCTTCTGGTTCAATTCAACTGGCAGCAGTGGGCCCCTCACCACCGAATGCTGCTGCTGATGCCCATCAGTGAGCCAGAGAGTGCAGCTATGTCTGTGTGTCTGTGTGTCACAGTGCACTGCCGCCGCCGTCGTTGCCGTTGTCCACTGCCCTCTCTCTGCAGTTCGGATGCTCTCTTCTCTGGTCTTCGGTGTTTTGGTTCCCTTTCTTTCTCTCTCCTTCTCTTTCGGTGGTTGTGTGTGTCACACAGAAGATCTGCCTGCTAGCTGCAGGCAGGCTGGCTGGCTCAGATGAAGAAATAGCTCTGCGATGAGGCGACGATGTACGACGAGGCCTGCTACTTCTGCTTCACAGTAATACACGCTCTTTCTCCTTTGGTGCCAGTGGCCGCCGTAGTGGCAGCGGCAGACGGCGTCTTTGCCGCACAATCCCTTTGCTGCTGCTGCGACCGATTGGCGCCAAGCTTCAAGCCAATCGAATCTGCTGGGGTATATAGCCGAAGAAGAAGGAGAAGAAGCTATCTGGCTGGAAAGCTGAACGTCACCACCACCACCACCATAGTAGAGCAGCCACTGACTCACTGACTGACTGGCGGTCCGATAATGACCAAAGGCATTCGTCGTTAATGTCGAACAATTGAGGAGCAGAGGAGAGACGGGGAGAGCGTGTAGATAGGATAGAGATAGATGACCAGATCGCAGAGGAGAGAGAGCCTAGGCAGCTTACTTTCTCTGATCAAGCAGCTCGATGACCGCCAATTGGCCACCGCCGCCACCGATTGCTGCTGAGATGGCCATTGCTGGGGCTCAAGTGCTACTGTTAGAGATGGTGCAAGTGGGGGGCAGGCATCACAGCTCACTTCGGGGAACGATGTCTGCCTGTGTTTGCGTGTATCGGCGTTGAAGTGGCCAGCAGTGGTCCTGTGTTGTCCACTTACCGTACACTGCTGTCCAGTCGTTGTACTCTGCAGACGGATGATCATGATCATGGTAATGATAATGATGGCGATGGCAATGGTAATAGTAATGATGATGCTGCCGCTGCTGCTACAGACAGATCCTTTTGACCCAGCAGAAACAGCAGCAGTAGCAGCATCAGCACCATCAATCAGATTCATTCACTCTGCAGTGGGTGCACTTTCTTTTTTCCTAGAAAAGCTCTTTTTGCTTTTTTCTTTTCATTTCTTTTTTTCCTAACCACCACCACCACTACTGTCACCAACTGCTCGTCCTCTAGTGCCCGAGTTGTCTTCCGACACTCTCTCAGCTTCCCCTCTTTTCCCATTTCTTCTCAGTGGCAGTCAGACAGAGTTTGGGCATCACTGAAGTTGGCAGCAGTGAGGCGTTGACGCCTGATTCAGCAGCAGCACCAGCATGCCTTTCTCTGGCACGCCACACTGTCACACTGGCTGACTGACTGTGTGTCCACGACAGACGCCGCGTCTCCGCTGCCGATTGTTTTCGATTAAGGCCATGCTTTCACACCATCAGAGCATCAGGAATCACAAAGGCAGGCAGGCAATAAATAAATAAGACACAACAACCAAAGTATTTCGCCTGCTCACTCTGCTGCCGCCACGCCGAGGACATTGTTGTTGGCAGTGAGGAAGAGGACAGACATTCAGGCATCAGTTATTTCCCTATTGTATTCGGGGCGCCGCCGTCGCCGATTGCTGATGCTGCTGCTGATGGTGCGAATAACTGTGCACAATTAACACACACACAGACAGACAGAAATTGGTAGTGCCGCTGATCAGTGCACTGGGCAGTGCATTGCTGATTGACAAATTTGCTCTCTCTCTCGCCTCTTCGTCAACTACCACTGCTCTTGGTGGTGCTGTCCTTCTCTCTCTCTCTCTCTTCCTCTACTCCTCTGGTAGTGATGGTGATGGTTGTGATGAATCACAGTACTGGTGCTGGTACAGTAATGGGATGAGTCGGCCACTCTCCAAATCGAGGCAGAGCAATAGCTGGCAATTGCGCCCGTACTCTGTGTGTGCAGGCTGTGTGTAGTGTGTGTTTGTGCAGCGCAGTTCGCCAGCTGAGTCGCCAGTCGCCTGTCTTCAGTCGCCCAAATACCATCTCTTCCTAATCAGTTGCCAGGTATCCTCAGTGTCTGTCAGTGTGTGCGTGTGTGCTTGTTTGTTCGGCAGGGTATTCGAGGAGATCCACCGCGACGATATCATCAGGTCACTTCATCACTTCTTTATCAACTCTACTTATCATNGTGCTGCTGCTGATGGTGCGAATAACTGTGCACAATTAACAAACACACAGACAGACAGAAATTGGTAGTGCCGCTGATCAGTGCACTGGGCAGTGCTTTGCTGATTGACAAATTTGCTCTCTCTCTCTCGCCTCTTCGTCAACTACCACTGCTCTTGGTGGTACTGTCCTTCTCTCTCTCTCTTCCTCTACTCCTCTGGTAGTGATGGTGATGGTGGTGATGAATCACAGTACTAGTGCTGGTACAGTAATGGGATGAGTCGGCCACTCTCGGGATCGAGGCAGAGCAATAGCTGGCAATTGCGCCCGTACTCTGTGTGTGCAGGCTGTGTGTAGTGTGTGTTTGTGCAGTGCAGTTCGCCAGCTGAGTCGCCAGTCGCCTGTCTTCAGTCGCCCAAATACCATCTCTTCCTAATCAGTTGCCAGGTATCCTCAGTGTCCGTCAGTGTGTGCGTGTGTGCTTGTTTGTTCGGCAGGGTATTCGAGGAGATCCACCACGACCACGATATCATCAGGTCACTTCATCACTTCTTTATCAACTCTACTTATCATCAGCCATGAACCTCATCCGCCGAAGCACCGACTGCGTCAAGCACTGGTACTTTGTCTACGAGCTTCGAACATCGCTGTACATGCTGGAGCCATGGGAGAAGCAGCTCTTCAGTAAGTGACCACAACAATCTCTTACAGTCAACCTTAAAGTCAAAGCCTAACCTTTTACTCTTCTTCNTCAAGCACTGGTACTTTGTTTACGAGCTTCGAACATCGCTGTACATGCTTGAGCCATGGGAGAAGCAGCTCTTCAGTAAGTGACCACAACAATCTTTTACAGTCAACCTTAAAGTCAAAGCCTAACCTTTTACTCTTCTTCCTCTTCTTCTGCAGACTCCGTCGTGGTCACTCTGATGGCCACCTCAGCGTACACAACCTACCTGTTTTTACCTCGCTACGCCGGCCATCTGCTTAGCTACATCGGGCTGATGTAAATAGAGAGGAGAAAACTCCCCAGTTTTCTCTCTGACCCGAAGCACAACTAGTATTGCAATATCTGTTTTTATACAGTTCATAAACACGCACCGGTTGCCTTGATTTGTCACCATAACACACAATTTACACACACACATACAGATTACCGCTGTTGAAGTATCAAATGTTTACTTTTATTTCCTCCCCTTCCCGAGAGCGTATATTTATTAAATGATGAAAAATTACAAAGTTCGACTTTTAGACCTCGGCCGACGCTGACGAGCAAATCAAGTTGCTTCCAACAGCAACAACAGCAACCAGGGTGTGTTTATGAGATGGAATCCTCCTCGGAATCGCTGGCGTGCTTGAGCGACTCTTGAGCATAGTGCACGGCTTCGTCAAAGAGCGGCTTCGGCACCCACTGGTGCAAGCCATTGGTATCCTTGCCAATCCAGCTCAGTTCCAGCTCGAAAGCCTTGTCCTTCACTTCGTCGTGCACGCTGTAAATTCTAAATATATAAAAAGAGAGAGCAACGGGAAGAGAGAGATTGGCAATTAACGGAAAGGGAGATGCAATGGTGCGAGTCAATTTACATTCGAGCCGCCTCCTTAATGAGGTCTCTAGCGCTGACTTCGCTGAATTTCAGCTTCTCCAGTTCGGTTTTCGCTCCTTGCTTGTTCTTGCCAATGGCGCAGCCTTTGTAGCCCTGGTAGTAGGAGAGAGAGTATAAACAAACGATTACGGTGCTGTTCACTGCCTGCTCGGGGATGCGACACATAAAAAAGGTTGCACAAATAAATTACCCATGAAACGCCAGACGGGTCAAGACAATACAGTTGCGGTCCGTCAAGCTCATCGTAGGAGGCGAGAATCACCGAGCAGCCAAAGGGGCGCAGAGCACTGTAGAGCGTGTAGGCATGCATGTACATGGCAACGCGGTTCTTCAGATACTAAATGAGGAAACAATAAACGTCAAATGAAATTGCTGCTGACTTGCTGACACGCCGGTTAGGTGGTGGTGGTGGTGCAGCAGTAGTAGTAGTGAGAGCGATTCACTTACGTTGATGGGAATCGGCATTCCGTACTGGGAGCGGTAATCACTGGCCTCATCACGAGCCTTCTCCACGATGCTGCGCGAATCCGCCAAGAGACCGGCAACGGCGGCACTGACGTGACGATCAATGGGGAAGATGCGCTTGTTGGTGCCCGGCTCGTACAGCTTCGAGGTGACAATCTTCTCGACGGCGAGCACCACGCCATCCTTGCCCTTCAGAGCAACCACAGTTCTGCATACAAAAGAATAAAGACACGTTAGCAAAGACGACATTCTTCAAAGAAAAGGCAAAGACAAAGAAGATCATACCCGCTGTTTTCCACAGCTTTCTGTGCGTATTCCACCTGGAAAACACGGCCGTCCGGAGAGAACTGCGACGCCGACAGATCGTACTGTTTGACAGGGCATTGATTAGTATTTCCCGGTTCTTAAACACCACTTCTTAACCATCCTACTTACCCCAGTTCCAATAGCACTCATGATTGCTGGAAGGGATGAAGACAAAGACAAACAGAGAGAATGAGACAAACACTTGGACGGTGAAACAGAGAGATGCGGTTCGCAGGCGATGATCTGCACAAAATTGACAGACTTCTGTTGTGCGTGTGCGCTCTGAATGCACTCCACCGGCCACCCACCGGGGTGGAAGTAGACAGGCAAGCCAACTTTGAATTTCAAAAAGGTGATTTTATCTTTTAATGAGATTTGCGTAATAAGTTGTGTGTTTATCATCATCATCATCATCAGCATAATAATACTCTAATCTCTAATCTGATTAAAATGGCGGCAAACTGTTTCACTGGAGACTGTTGTACTGTTTCCTAATTTCAAAGAGCAAAATCGATGAAGCGATTGCCGAGTTGAGACTCTCCACGTTTCCGTACAGTGGAATGGTGACCCGGGAGCCGTTGCACTGCTGCGCCAGCTGGTACGACTCACTGCTAGGGCCGAAGGCCTCATTGGCGATGATCAGCACTTTGTGCTGCTGCTGCTGCCGCCGACGGCTGCCAGGCTCGAAAAACTGTACACCAAAGTAGTCCCTTGACTGGAGGGACGCCGCCAGCTTCTCGGTGTGCTGCTGGTGGTGGTGGTCCTTTGAATCAGCAATGAACACATCGAAGGCCTGACCGCCAGGCAGGTGGTCGGTCAGACTGCTCCAGGAGACGTTGGTGACCAGGGGAATACGAAAGTGCGCTCCAGCCGCCGACTTGATGACCTTGTTGTTCCAGGGGTCGACGCAGCCGTTAGTCAGCAGTACTTTGTCCACACCGGCAGCGGCACTGCTGCGAATGATGGTGCCCAGATTTCCCGGGTCCCGGATATTGTCGCAAACTAGCGTCAGGGGCATTTGTTGAGACCTATCAACGGCCAGCTTGCTAAAGTCCGGCTTCTCTGAAACGGCCATTATTCCCGGCGCCGTCACCAAGGAGGAAAATATCTTCATGTCTCGGTACAACACTTTCATTATCTTCGTCCCATCAGTGGCCATAATCTCCTCTAAGTTGTGTATGTCTCTTAGATGGTCTTCCAAGGTGAAGTAGATGTACTTTAGCTTGATTTTCGCATCGATGGCATCGTTGATTAGGCGCTTTCCCTCGAGAACAATTATATTCATAGTTTCCCTGCGCTTTTTCAGTGAGAGATTTACCATCATCGCTCTAAAAGGAAAATGTCAATTAAATGTGAGAAAAACGCAAAATACAGAGAAACTTTTACTTGAAAGGATTATTTTGGTCACTGGCTTTTTCGTATCGAGGAACGTCTTTTGTTTTGTTGGTATTTGAAAACTTGACCTTTTGCAGTTGACTCGATCGGTCTACGTAAAAATTTTTAACTGTTAAGACAAGATTGTTGAATTTATCAAAATTTAAGTACCTTGAAAATGTGTCTCCTCCTCTTCTTCTTTAAACATGAAGCTCTCATCGTATTTTTGATTTGGTAAGCTCTTTTGCGCCGGCGGTGAGTGAGCGTCCTGACCGATCGGTCGTCCGTCCTTATCGAGAACCCGTGTGACTCTAGGCTTGAAGACCTGTCTCGACAAGGTTGCCCTCTGTACTGACAGTACAAAATGCCGCGAGGCCAGCAAAGACCGACAGAACATTCTGATGAGAGGTGTGATGTGATGAGAATCCTCGAAGCTCTGCAGAGAACAAAATCTGTAAACACAAACTGTTTTTGTCAGAAACACGTGAGACCATCGATGTTCGCCAGGCGCGCTGTTGCCTGCCATCGATGGGAACATCTCGAATTTTCGCAACCCAAAAAGAATCAATGAATAAATGAATGAATCAATTTTACTATAAGCGGAAATGGTCACAGGATTATCCATCAGGGAATCAGGGGATACAGAAAACCTCAGCCTTTTCCAGCAATTTCGGCAAATAGCAATTTTGTCTTACTCCGTAGATAGAGAAGAAAAAACATGAATATCATCAGGAGATTTGAATAGGATGGTGGAAACTATAGAAGAGTACTGTACACATTTGGAACAAAAACACAAAATTGGAATCCTAAGGCTAAAGAGAGAGAAAGTATTTTAAGCAATCCAGGCAGAGGCGGCGGTGGTATTTAGAACATAGAGGCACCAAAGCCAAAGGTTCGCTTAATACTCTCAAAGTAGAATCGCTTCCAGCCCTCTTCAGTTCTGACGAGGTCAGTGCGGGGAACGCCCTTCTGGCTGATGTTCACCTCAGTGGCGTCCTCCTTCTGGTTGATGGTGATGGTCACCTCCGAGTAGTGCTCCGCCGGCCAGTTCTTGACGCGCCAGTTTTGCTTGATCACCTTGCCCGGCTCCAGGTGGGTGAACTTCCCCACGATGTTCCCGTCCAGCAGGCTGAACTGCCCGCCAGCGTGGGCCTCCACGGTGACCTTGTTCTGCGTGAAGGCCTGCACCAGCTTAGGATCGGTCAGCACTTGGTAGAACTCATCGGCGGAGCATTTGAAGGTGTCCGTCAGCGTAAGAGTGGTTGTGTCGATCTTCACGCCGGGAGTTGGCTGCTGCGGCTGTTTTGGAGCAGTAGCAGCAGCAGCAGTGGCGGGCTTTTTGTGGTTGGTGGTCGAGGAGGAGGATGCCTCTGATTTGGTCTTTTTCAGCTGGGCCTCCGTTTGGAAGGAGTTGATGGAGCCGCCGTCGGTCAGCTTCGACGGCTTGATCATGTCCTTGGCGAACTCGTCTCGCAGCGCAAGAATGTACTTGGACAACTGCTCGCGGATCGCCTTCTCGCCCTTGCTTCGCATCAGGTTCTTGAGGAGGTCCTCCTTTGAGCCGGACGTGTCGAGCGAGACGTCGACGGTGATCTCGTCGGCGCTGTTCTCCTCGCTCAGATTCGGAATCTCCAGCTTGCCGCTGATCTCCTCCGCCTGGCCGTTGACATTGCCCTTCCAGTTGCACTTGATCACCCACTCGTAGAAGAATATGAGCTTTCCTTTGCGATTGTTGGCCACGGCTTCGCCTTCGATGGAGGACACCTCGGAGATGTAGCAGCGGCCAATGCTAGCGTCGTCAATCTGCAGCCCCATCAGCAGCGTCTGGAGCTTCTCCTTGGACCAGTGTGCGGCATTCTTCTCAGTCCTGGCAACAGAAAGCAGGCACACATGTTATATAAACAAAACAAAGCGAAAAGACTTCTAAAAAGGCTTACCAGTGCCAGTTGTTGACATTAGTAGCGTCCGGTCTCTCCTCCACAATCCATCGAGGATCGCCCTCACCCCACTTGGCCATGATGATGCTATAGTTCGAGAGAAGGAGGAGGCTTTTCGAGAAAGATCAGTATTGAAGAGGTGAGCCGGTAGTTTGATGAGGTGTGCTCACACTGAGCTTTTGAGGTTCAAATCAGCTTTGGAGGGTCCAGTCGAGCAGTTTAGCTATAGCGACTAGCTTCACCTCTGGGACAACAACAGCAAGGTAACAAAAGCTTCTAGTTGAAGGGTTACTCAGATGAAGTGAACTCCACGGCGGCCAGTGTTGGATTGTCGGCGAGAAGTCGGCGAGTGAGAGGTGCATGTGCTGCTGCTGCAGTGCACACACCACAGAAGTTTCGAGACATGCTGCAGTTTGCGGGCAACTTCCCACAGCAACTTCCCAAATGTTTCGCCAGTTGCATTTTTGCCAACACAAACACTTACACACTGCTCAGTTTCGCCAGCTGCTCCTGCTCAGCTGTACAGTGCATTTCGTGGCTGTACACTTCTGGCTGATGATCATCACCTCGCTTCACCTCACTCCAACNACACACACACACTGCTCAGTTTCGCCAGCTGCTCCTGCACAGCTGTACAGTGCATTTCGTGGCTGTACACTTCTGGCTGATGATCATCACCTCGCTTCACCTCACTCCAACGAGTGTTTCAGCAGGTGCGCAGCCATCTCCACCATCATCATGATCAGTCTGACGACGGAAAAGCAGCAGAAGTGAAGTGAAGTACCTGGGTCCAATTAGTTTGGGACCGTTTAGTTGATCGCTGGCGACTGTGCGCGCATGTCCACTGAAGAGAAACACAAGTCTGAGGCTGCCGGCACTGGTGCTACTACTGCTACAGCACCAGACAGCACATCACTCCCCGAGCCAGCAGAATCGGCGGCGCATCAGTAACGCCTCGTGAATCGTCTGGCGAATCGTCGTGCGAAAGAAGAGAGTGCGACAGTTGAGCTGATTTCAGACGTTGTCGTTGTCGTTGTCGTAGTCGTCGCCAATTGCACTACAGTTTTTCAGTCTTTGCTGCTGCTGCTGCACTGCTGTCATTCCCACCAGGCACTTGTACAGTCGACTACTTTCCTCTCCTGCCCATTCCTTCGCTTCTCCTCTCTCTCTCTCCCTCTCTTCCTGGTAGCTCAGCTCAGCTCAGCCTCTCAGTTGCTGGATTTCCTCGAACTCGACTCGTCAACCTTGATGGCTCGCTCTGTCTGATCCCTGTCCCTGTGTTGTTGTTAGCGCTTGCGGCCCACCACCAGTGCGGCCACCGACCACCACAGACCACCACCGACCAACCTGGTCTATATCGTCATCGCAATAGCTACTGTATCACCGACCGTTATCAGCCCCCAAGTCTCTCTCGCGCTTTTACTTTTACTTTTACTCTCTCCCTTTCCCCTTTGCATTGCCATTAACGTGATTTGCAGTTATCACCACCAGTCGTTTCTATGTGTGTCTGAGCCAGTCTCACCACCACCATTCTCTGCCGCCATTCTCAATCTGCCTACCAAATCTGCCAATCCGAGTTTCCTGCAGGCTGTACGGTGTGTACATCACCACCACCACCAACACCTACGGCCGCCACTGCCGTCACCAGCAGCAGCAGTACTGCACTACCACTTAATCATTCAGTAGTGCAGCCCATCTTCATCATCAACAGACAGCACTAGCACCAACACTCACTTCACTCACTTCATCATCAACATGGGCACTGACTTTGTTCGAGTTGACCTGCGAAACAGCATCTGGGAGATTCCCAGCCGCTACGAGAACCTGCAGATTCTCGGCTCGGGCGCCTACGGCCTGGTCTGCTCCTCCTATGACCGCTCCCGGCAGATCAGCGTGGCCATCAAGAAGATCTCCAGTCCTTTTCAGACGCCGATTCACGCCAAGCGAACCTATCGCGAGATCAAGCTGCTCAAGCATATGCGCCATGACAATGTAAGCGCACCAGTAATACTAGGCGTAGTAGCGTGACAACAAACAGTGAAATTGTGTACACACACAAACACTAACACCTTTTCCACCGCCACCAACAGGTAATCGGACTGCTGGACGTGTTTACGCCGTCGCCGACGCTGGAGAGCTTCTCCGAGGTGTACCTCGTTAATCAGCTGATGAGCTCCGACCTGAACAAGATCATCAAGAGTCAGCGCCTGAGCGACGACCATGTTCGCTTTCTTGTCTACCAGATGCTGCGTGGACTCAAGTACATTCATTCCGCCGGAGTGATCCACCGAGTATGATTGAACTGTTTGCACATGGCAGCTGCCACCTAACGCACACATTCCTTGCTTTCGCACCTATCTCTCTCACTCTCNGACGTGTTTACGCCGTCGCCGACGCTGGAGAGCTTCTCCGAGGTGTACCTCGTTAATCAGCTGATGAGCTCCGACCTGAACAAGATCATCAAGAGTCAGCGCCTGAGCGACGACCATGTTCGCTTTCTTGTCTACCAGATGCTGCGTGGACTCAAGTACATTCATTCCGCCGGAGTGATCCACCGAGTATGATTGAACTGTTTGCACATGGCAGCTGCCACCTAACGCACACATTCCTTGCTTTCGCACCTATCTCTCTCACTCTCTCCTGAAGGACCTGAAGCCGAGCAACATCGTGGTGAATGAGGACTGCGAGCTGAAGATTGTCGACTTTGGTCTGGCTCGCCAGTCGGAGAGCGAGATGACCGGCTACGTGGCCACGCGATGGTATCGCGCTCCCGAGGTGATGCTCAACTGGATGCACTACAATGTCACCAGTAAGACCATCGTTTTTTGTGTGGAAAACTTTTTTTTTGTATTTAACCCTTTAAACTTTTTCCCAAACTTCTGCACAGTGGACATTTGGTCGGTGGGCTGCATCATGGCGGAGATGATCACCGGACGTCCGCTCTTTCCCGGCGCCGATCGTAAGCATTGTGCAAATAGTGATGAGAATATGTTCTCTGTAAGTTGACTAATTCTTTCTCCTTACCACCACCATCATCAGACATTGACCAGCTGCTGAAGATCATGAAGCTGTGCGGCACGCCGGACGACGAGTTCATGAATCGCATCACCAGCCAGGAGGCGCGCAACTACATTCGCACGCTGCCGCTCATGCAGAAGAAGGACTTCAGGGCTGAGTTTCGCAATGCCAATGACCACGCCGTCAGCCTCCTCGAGAAGATGCTGGAGCTTGACTACGAAAAGAGGTAGGAAAGGGAAAGGGAAAGGGGAGAGAAAGTGGTGTCTGTGCCTGAGTTATGTTGTATAAATATTTGTGTTATTTCTTTTCCTCACCAGACTGACTGCCGAACAGGCGCTGCAGCATCCATATCTGGCCGACTACGCCGATCCCACTGACGAACCAATTTCGGAACCATTTGACGACTCATTCGAAGACTCTAACCTCTCGNAGGGAAAGGGGAGAGAAAGTGGTGTCTGTGCCTGAGTTATGTTGTATAAATATTTGTGTTATTTCTTTTCCTCACCAGACTGACTGCCGAACAGGCGCTGCAGCATCCATATCTGGCCGACTACGCCGATCCCACTGACGAACCAATTTCGGAACCATTTGACGACTCATTCGAAGACTCTAACCTCTCGGTTACCGAGTGGAAAAGTAAGTGTTTCCCTTTGTGGAGATATAATAAGACTGATTGAGATGGGAGATTTCGTTTGCTAACTTGTTGATCACCCCCTCTTTTTTGCTAGAGCTGATCTACAACGAGATCACCAACTTCACGCCGCCTGCAAACTGAAATACTTATTCACATGCTCTATCTCGCTCTTTCCTATTTCCCTCCCTATCTTCTCTTCTCCCTCCTATCTACCTAGTTGGTTAAATCATCGACAAATGTATTACACGTTACCGTTTTAATTGTTTATTGTTTAGGCCAAACATCTTTTGTCTATCTAAGATTGTGCGATTTTATTGTTCTTCTTCCTATTTATTCTCTCTCTCCTTCCCTCCTTCCTGTAATCTTGGTGCGTATTTTGAAGCCGTAATGACATTACAGCAATGTTTGACTGCTAGAGCAAGTCACTACTTTCTCCCTAAAACTGTTCGTTTTTTTGCTGGAATTGTAATTGGAGAGCAGCTGAAGAAGAGAAAAGTCAAATCTGGGCTAATTGTCTGCAATAGTGTTTCCCATTGACAATTCTTTGGTGGTGGTAGTGTCAGATGTCATCTGTGTGGCCCCTTCTTTTTCTTCGAGTGTGGCCTGGCCAGCTGAGGTCAAGGTCCACCGAGGAGAGAGTGCGGGCAGCACTCAAAGGCACTGAAGATAAGGGGACAGCAGTGTTTGGTTACATTCAGTGTCTTCTGTGGACGATTATCAACGACTCTTCTCCCTCTCTCCCTGCCCGATTAGTGGGTGATCGTCACTGGTGCTGCGTCGGTGTGTGTGACAGTCAGTCAGACTCGCTCACTCCCTCCCTCCCTTGTTCGCCTATCTCACTGACATTGCTTGACACCAAGCAGTGAGCTTGCCCATTCGCTCTGCCTGGTATATCGCCTGGCTATGGCTTGCAAGCGGTCTATCTGCCCCTCTCGCGCTNGTGCGGGCAGCACTCAAAGGCACTGAAGATAAGGGGACAGCAGTGTTTGGTTACATTCAGTGTCTTCTGTGGACGATTATCAACGACTCTTCTCCCTCTCTCCCTGCCCGATTAGTGGGTGATCGTCACTGGTGCTGCGTCGGTGTGTGTGACAGTCAGTCAGACTCGCTCACTCCCTCCCTCCCTTGTTCGCCTATCTCACTGACATTGCTTGACACCAAGCAGTGAGCTTGCCCATTCGCTCTGCCTGGTATATCGCCTGGCTANTTCAAAGACGAAGTTGCTTCTTCTTCTGCTGCTGCTGCTTTTTGGGTGTTGTCACTGGCTCAAAGGCTCGAAGGCTGTGTGAGCAGAAGAGGGGCAGATTGGTGCAGTGGCTGGCAACACACACTCTCTCGGTGCTATCGTTCATTTGCTCCTCTTCTCTTCCCATCATCGTCTTCGACTTCCACTGGCGACTTCATCGGCACTCTCTTCCCACTGCCTGTCTCTGTCTGTCTCTGTATATCTTAGCCGCCCGTCACTCCTTAGCGCGTTATTTTTAGTGTGGAGCACACTGTGTTCGAAGCAGCGGCAGCAGCAGCTAATCGAAACCAAATGTGCTCGCCTGCAGCCCGACGGCCACAGACGTTAGCTGCAGCTAACTACCACCACCAGCAGCAGCAGGACTGGCACCATCGCTGCAGCCGCTCTGCCTAGCTCAGCTCAGCTTAGCGCCCCTTCTTCTTCTTCTTCTTAGCAGTCAGTCATTCTGCTGCAGCTGCTAAGCAGCAACTCTCTTTCCCTCTTTATTCGTCCATATTTGATTTAGTCTGACCACTTTTCCTCCTCTCTCTCTCTCTTGAGACTTTGTCTAAACACACACACAATTCTTCCGCCTGAAGGAGGAAATTCGCATCCAGCTCTCCACTTAAACGATGGGGCCACTCAAATGGTGGCCACCCTCTCTTCAGCTGGTCAGCGCTCTGCTGCTGCTGTTGATGCACCTGCATCCACTGGCCGTCCACGCGCAGGTGCTCAACCCGCCCTACTTTAACTTGGCTGAAAGTAGAAAGGTATATGGGAAAACTTTCTGGAACTTTGATCCTAAATTAAATTTTTAAAATCCATAAAATTTAGATCACCGCAACTGCCACCTGCGGTGAAGGCATCCCTGAATCGAAGGAGGTCTACTGCAAACTGGTGGGCGCCAACTGGCTGGACCGAAATGAAAACGTAGATCTGATTGAGGTATGCTGTAGGCTAACATTTCTGAAAGATATTAAACATATTCTTTCCATTTTTGCAGGGCCAAGCATGTGATTACTGCGACCCTCGTGACCCGGTGCAGTCGCACCCGGCGGCGAACGCCATCGACGGCACTGAGA